GAGCTTGAACTGCTGACCTTGCAGTTCAAATGGTTTTGCTGTCTGGTGCATTAACCCACAGCGCCACACCAGGGCTCCCATTGAATAATTCTGACCCATAGGGACTTTATGTAGGGTTTCTGAGACTATAAATCTTTATAGCTTCATCTTTCTCCTATAGAGCAGCTAGCTGGTGGATTTGAACCTCTAAACTATGATTAGAGCAACCCAACACCTAATCCACAGTTCTACCAGTGCTCCTTGACATGTCGCAGAACTCCAAAATAACAGTGGCTTAAAGAAGATAAGGGAGTACTGTGGCTCTGTAGGATAAGCACTGGACTGGCTGCTAACCTCAAAGTTGGTGGTTCAGACCCACCAGCTTCTCCAAGGGAAAAAGAAGAGGCTTTCTGCTTCTGCAAATGATGTATAGACTTGAAAAGCCTATAAGGGCTTTTTGCTGTGAATTGGAACTGACTCAACAGCATTTAACAATAACAAACAAGAGAAAGATGTGCTTATTTGTCTCTCCTGTAAAAGAAGTCATGGTGGTTGTCTGGAGGCATTATGGGCAGTAGGGAACCAGGCTCTTTTTATCTTCCTGCGTTATAGTTCTTCGTATGTGGCTTCTATCTACATACATGGGTCACCTTGTTGTCTAAGAGGGATGCTGAATCCCCAGTCATTCGTTCACTCTGTAGGTAGGGACTAAAAGAAAGGAGAAAGGTAAAAGAGTGTTTGCCAGTAGGTGTTGTTGTTGTTGTTAAGTGCTGTTGAATCAATTCCGACCCATAGGGGCCCTCTATAGGGTTTCCAAGGAGCAGCTGGTGAGCTTGAACCACCGACCTTGCAGTTCAAACTGACTTTGCAGTCAGATGCATTAGCCCACAGCACCACACCAAGACTCCTTGCCAATAGGTAAATTTCCTAAAAAGAACCTTCCTTGATGGCTCATCTAATAACTTCCATTTGCATTTTACTGTCTTCTTCTAAGTTGCAGGAGACACTGGGGAATAGAGTCTTTAGAAAAGCACATAACTGTCCCCAAATGAAATTGAGATTCTGTTACAAAGAAACAGGGAAAGATGTATATTGAGTGTCTCTTAGTAAAATTATCTTTGCTTGGGGAACCATGACACTAACATGGAACAACTGACATGCCTCTGAGTCACAGTGCTTGACAAGGGTGGCAGTTCTGAGTAATGATGGTTTTGGGGTCAGGAGATTTGGATACAAAATACAGCTTTATTGCTTACTAACACATGACCATCAGTGAGGGCAATTAACCTCTCTGTTTCTTCACATATAAATTGGGACGATAGTATCATGATTACGTCACAGATTTGAGGTAAAGATGCAGGAGTGTAAGTGACAGCATTTGGAATAGAGGTGGGCACATGGTGGGTACCCAGGAACATTTTGTTTCTTGGAACTTGAGATCCAGAGCTTAGAAATGGGCACTGCCATTGCTCAAATGGCCTAAGGAAGGACCTTGGGGATGTGACAGAACTTTCATGGGGAATGGACATTTCAGTGAGAAGGAAAGAAGGCCTTACCTTTGCAAGAGAGTTAAGTTTCTAGGCTTCATCTGCAAAGCTACTTGTTTCTGACAAGCTACCAATGTCCTGAAATTGTTTGCATGGGGCTACAGTATAATGTCACATTGTGTTGTGTTGAATTTGTCTTAAGCAGACAGAAAGGGCAACAGCAGTCAGAAATTCAGGGTATTTCCAAGGCAAAACAAAGCACCTGGTGTCCTGGGATTTTCCCCCTTTGTTCCAATCTATGATGCCCTAGCCTGCCTGCTCTTTGAGGATGCCTAGTCTTGACACACTCCACCCTGTCCATATAATTGTGCCCGAGTCGTCTTGATTTCCTGGCCAAATGAAGAACAAACTTCTCTAATGAAGGTTTTGGATCCTTGGGCAGGTCGCTTAATCTACATGTTAGCATTCTAATTAGTAATAAGTAGAACTTGATTTTAACACAACCTACACAATGTCACTATGAGTGGGGACTGACTCCATGGCACTTAAAACAACAACAACAACTGCATGTTGAAGGAACCCTCATCGTGTTAAGTGTTGTGCTGCTAACTGAAAGATTGGCAGTAGAAACTCACCCAGTGCTTCAGTGGGAGAAAGATCTGGCAATTCACTTCCATAAAGATGATTGTTGTTGTTGTTAAGTGCCGTCAAGTCGATTCAAAACCCATAGCGACCCTGTATAGGGTTTCCAAGGAGCAGCTGGGGAGCTTGAACCGCCGACCTTGCATTTCAAACAGCTTTGCAGTCTGGCTCATTAACCCACAGCGCCACACCAGGATGATAGCAACAATGTTTGTTGAACACCTACTATGTGCTAGACCCTAGATTAGGCACTGGAGATGTTGCGCTGGATAAGACACATCAGGCAGGTGAGGGGACCCTGGGGGAGCTTCAGGGGATGACCGTTTCTTGATGCTTTTTGATGAGCGAGGTACTCCTAGCAGAGCAGAGGGAACTTACAGTTGGCATTGCCCTGCATACCCACAGTGGGAGGTGACTTGTGGGGTCCTTCAGCAGAGCCTGCTTCAAGCATTGGCCACTTACTCAAATGGGAAAAAGCATAGGCTCTGAAACTAGACTGTTTTGGTTCAAAACTCAGCTCTGGCACTAACTAACTGTGTGCTGTTGAAAAAAAATGATAAGCCTCCTTATCTGTGCAATGAAGATCCTATTAGTACCTTCTTCATAGGGTAGCTAAAACAATTAAGATAAATTAATATTTGTAAAACACATTGATAAGTTGTTGTTGTGAAGTGCCATCAGTCAGTTCCGACCCATAGTGATCCTGCATAGGGTTTCCAAGGAGCAGCTGGTGAGCTTGAACCGCCGACCTTGCAGTTCAAATGGCTTTGCAGTCATTAACCCACAGTGCCACACCAGGACCTTAAATGTAAATGCTTGTCATTATTGTTATTTTTTATATATTTACATGTTGTGTGTATATATAAAACATTCTTGTGTAAACCCGTGCAGGCTGGCATTTACCTTTTAAGCATTCAGTGTGGTATTTGCCTTCACTTTCACCTTTTGTCCTAGGAAGTGAGGCCTTGATAACCAGGGAAAAGGCCCTCGTCCCCAAGTCTAAGAAATGATGAAATAATTTCTTGAAGATGTAAGAAACCTCTTCCTAGGATGATATAAGTTCATCTCTCTTACACTCCTTGTTTGCCATGGCAAACCAGACTGTAAGTTAGAAACCAAGTCTACATTCTCCACCCTGCCTAGAGTCCATGTTGAGCTGACCATCCTGGAGGGAATGACTGCAGAATCTACCCAGGAAAGCCAAAGCACAAGACAGTGCACAGGCTCTTCTGAGAAACTGCCTTCATTTTGTTAAAAAGGAAAAGAGCAATAACAACAAACAAGTATAAACTAGGTGCAAAAGTCAGCAACAAAAGGGAGCAGGGCTAGGGAGATGTTATACCGATGACTTTGAAGACAGAGAAAGGGGGCCATGAGCCAAGGAATGTGGGTGGCCTCTAAAAGCTGAAAAAGGCAAGGAAATAAATTCTCTCTTGGAGTCTCCACAAAGGAACATTGGCTTGCTGACATCTGAACAGTATTTACTCCAGTGAAAACCATGTTCGTCTCCTGAGCTATAGAACTATAAAATAATCTATATTGTCTGAAGTCCCTAAATTTGTAGTAATTTGTTATGTCAGAATTAGGAAAGTAATTCTGTGCTTCATCCCTGATACTTTCTTTCATTCCTTACATTGAGGTCTTTGGTGTCCACTAGAGTTTAACCCACACCCTTCCCTCATCCTTACCTTCTAGTTCCATCTTTGGACTCGGGGTTGTTGAGGACTCTAATGGCTCCAGATGAACAGGACAAGGTGAAGCAGGAGAACAAGAAGGCGGCAGGTGATTGAACGGATTAAGTAAGAGTTTGAACCCTGGAATCAGACAGGCCCAGTGTCAACTCAAGGCTGGTATTGAACCTCTGTATAAACTTTACTTTGTGGAAATCTGAACTAGATAGCCGTTTTGTTTCCTTAGCTTTGGTGTGGTGCTGTAGTATAAGCACTTGACTGCAAGGTCTGTTTGGACTGTAAGGTTGGTGGTTCAAACTCACAAATCACTTCTTGGAAACCCTATATTCTCTGTGAATTGGAATCAACTCAACTGCACTAAACAATAACATGAAGACAGGGATAAATACTACATTACTACTTCAAAGGGTTATTACGAAGTGTACTGCAATCATGTGTTGGTGTTATGTGCCGTGGAGTCGGTTCTGACTCATAGCAACCTTGTACAGGGTTTCCGAGGCTGTAAATCTTTACGGGAGCAGAAAGCCTCATCTTCCGCTGAACAGCTGACCCTGAGATTAGCGTCCGATTCGTAACCACTACACTACCAGAGCTCCTTAATGTGTATAAGGTATTTAATACCAGGGCCCAGCAAAAGTCACCCAATAAATGGCAATGCGATAATGAACATTCATATGCACTAAAGTGACCAAGTACAAGGAATTGCAGAAAAGTTACTGGAGGGTACTCAAGGGTAGAATCAAGCAGCCAGGGCCTGGGTGTAAGAACACCAGCTGGCCAGCCTTCCCTCTCTTCCCCTTCCTGCCCCCTCCCCTTTCCTGCTGGGGCAGCAGCCAGGAACAAAGCCCAGGGGATGAGGAGGTGGCTTGGCCAGCTGGCGCTCCAATCCAGCTCCCACCCCAGGTTACAGAGGTTGGACAGCTCTATCCTTTCCCCAACTCCTCTCCCAACGCCCCCACCACCTCAAGCTGCCCTTCAGTGGCCGATCAGGGTCCCCTGGTTTTCCAAGGAGTGGGGTGCACGTGGTGCCTGCCCCGAGTGTTGGCGGGGAGAGGGGCCAGTGGCTCGGGCTCGCGTGGGACTCTCACTTCCCCTCCCCAACGGCTGCGGGTGCAGGTGGCGCGGGCAGAGCCCCGCAGGCGGGGCGGGCCCTGTGGACACGCCCTCATGGAGAGTCTTCGTTGCCCCGCGGGAGGAAGCGCTAGAGCGGCGGCTGGTCTGGAGAGGAGCAGGGTGCTCGCTCTGGCTCCACGCGCAGGGACGCCGCCGGGCCCCCGCACTGGGCACCGGGCACGTCACGAGCCGGGGATGTGAGCTGCGCCCGCGCGGCATGGCAGCCTCAGGTGGGTCGGCTGGGGCCCGGGCCTCTCGGGATCCTACCCGCCCGCGCGCACTTTCCTCCTCTCCCGCTCCCTACGTCCAGCTGTCCCTCCTCGGAGCGCGTCTCCCTCTCAGTTCTGGTCGTTTCTCCCGTGCGGGCATCGGCATTCTTTTTCTCGGTTCTTTTCTCTGTTTCCTGTCGCAAACGTCCCCACCTCAACTTTCCCATGTCCCCACTGCCCGCTAGTCGTGCAATTCGCTTCAGCCTGGGCCTGACCTTTCCGCGTCCCACACTTTCCCTACCCCCCCACCCCCACCCCCATCTCGGTCTCCTATCCCTCAGCCCTCACTGACCCTCAGACCTTCTGTGTATTGTTCCTTGTTCCTCCAACTTAAGACCTGTCCAGAGTTGGAGGGCTGACTTAGCTACGCCAGCGAAAGGTTTCGCGTAGGGCCTCATAAGACCAACAGGGGGCGCTCAGACAGACACTCCTAGGTGGGTATGGGAAGTCAGAGGCAAGTCCTTGGGCCAGCTTCCCAAACTTTCTTCCACCACTCACCCTCAGGCTTTGTGTCTTTCGCCTAGAGTTTAGCAAGGAAACTAGGTAGGAACAGTATTCCTGGTCTTTAGTCTGACCTTTCCTTTCCGTTTTCAGAACTTTGGGAGCAATGGGAAGAGTTGGAAGCCATTGGGAAACATACCCATCAAAAGGTGCCAGGTGCCTTTTTAAGTTAATTTTGGGCTGCCTTCTGGTTAATGAGCTGTACAGTTGACAAGTGGTATTCTCACTGAGGTCTAGAACAACCACATAATGATAATAATTGCAGGTACTTAATGAACATGCAGAACTTCTGGTGTGGTGCTGTAGGATTGCCACTGGACTTCGAACCACAAGATCAGCAATTCAAACCCACTTGCTGCTATTCAGAAACTCTATTCAGGGTCACTGAGTCAGAACTGACTTGATGGCACTAACAGTGACAATGAATACTTGGAGTTTGGGTGTGATGTTGTAGGATAAGCACTAAACTGCTAAGTGGAAGGACGGAGGTTCAAACCTACCAGCTGCTCCTTGGAAACCCTATACAGGGTCACTATGAGTTGGAACTGGCTCGATGGCACTTAACAACAACAGTGAACACTTCAGTAGCCATGGTATTGCAGTGGCTAAAGCATTTAGTTACTAACTGAAAGGTTGGAGGTTTGAACCCACCAGACACTCCATTTGAGAAAAATGTGGCGGTTTGCTTTTGTAAAGATTTGCAGCTCTGGAAACCCTATGAATCAGTTTTACTCTTTGCTTTAGGGTCATTAAGAGTTGGAATTGATTCGACACCCAGGTTTTTAATAAGCAAATTACTATGCATTTCATCCAATGTCATGCACCTAATATATTCTCAGTGGACACTAGGACACACGTAGTCCCTGCTCTCAAGGAGTCTTACGAAAACGGTAAGAAAGCAGGGAGAAATATATACATACAGAGTTACCCTGTTTGCAAAGTGAGCTGACTTCTATTTAACATGTGAAAACAAGATGCAAAAGCCTTTTCCAGAACATACATAAGATCGAGTCTTCCAGAACTCACAGTTCCCAGAGGATATGGGCAGATGCTAGAACGAAGAGCCAGCTCGCTGCAGACCACCATCTAGCCTTGTAGTGATGCTTTAGAATCACTCTCATTATTTAAGGGGACAGGGAAGGAAGCCAATCTCAACCTCTTGGCTCTCTAGCCGGGCTCTGGAGGTTAGAAGAAGCTCTAGTGTGAAGAAGAAATCCCTGGCGTTGTCACGAGTCTGAATTGACTCAATGGCAACTAGTTTGGTCTTTGGTAGTAGTAGGGAGTCCATGGGCAGTACAGAAAGTGCTATCCAAAAGACTAGAGGTTTGAGTCCACCAGACTTGAAAGAAAGGCCCTGCTTTCAAGTCTGCTTCTGAAAAATCTGCCATTGAAAACCACACATGGGGTTGCCGTACATTGGACTTAGCTCAACAGCAACTTTTTTTTTTTTTCCTTGTAATAGTAGGTTCATGATCCACGTATTACAATTGGAGGCCAAAGTAGTTATGTAGAAGGAATTAATTTATTCAACAACTGTTTATTGCTTGCCCACCGTTGTTGGCAAGGAGCTCTGGTAGCGTAGTGATTACGAATCGGGCTGCTAACCTCAGGGTCAGTAGTTCGAAACTACCAGCTGCTCCATGGGAGAAAGATGAGGCTTTCTGCTCCTGTAAAGATTTACAGCCTTGGAAACCCTGTTCAGGGTCGCTATGGGTCGGAACTGACTCAATGACACTTCACATCAACAACTGTTATTGGCAGATGGAGTGCCATAGCTCCATATGATTAGCACTGGACTGCAAGCCACAAGGTTGGTGGTTCAAGCTCACCAGCTACTCTATGGGAGAAAGATGAGGCTTTCTGCTCCTGTGAGGAATTAAAGCCTAGGAAACCCTACACAGGGTTGTTGTGAGTCAGAATCGACTTGACGGCAGACGCTATTCTAAATGCCGGGTAAACAAACCAGACAAAAAGTCATACTTCCATAGAACATACAATGTAGGGGAGCAAGGCAGGCAATACACTGACTAAGAGATGTGTGTGGTATGATAAATGCTATGGAAAACAAGAGAGAGGGCTAAGGGAGGTTGGGATTAGAATTTGAAATCAAGTGGTCAAGTGAGCCTTCATAGAGAAGGTAACATTGGAGGAGAAATCTGAAGGAGGCGATTGATTGAGGGAGATATGTGAGGAAAGAGTGTTCCAGGGAGAGGAACGGCAAGGCGTTTGAGTGTGATTAAGGAACAGTGAGCAAGCCAGGTTGTCCCGAGCAGGTAAATGAGAGGGAAGAATGAGGTGATGAGTTCAGAGGATGAACTACTGATGCTCCTACCTCCTTCCATGACTGGGAACAGGCACTGGACTGCTGAGTCCAGGGAACAACAAACCAGAAGGAGCTTGGGGCAGAGGAAGCAGAGACAACCAACTTTGTCCAGGGACCCTTGCTCATTGATTCTGTGGACATGACTGAAGGGCCTAGGTGGTGCACTCCTCTTCAGATGAGCTCCCTAGCATGGTGGTCAAACCTGGGGCTATTTATGGAATCTTTAGTGGCTTCTGCATACATCTGTAGTGGTTAGAATGTCAGACCCTCTTGTCATCAGCATCCTCTGCGGTGAGACAGCACTCCAGGTGCTTCATGTGGGAGTTAGGTTTCTGGGGTCTCTGGGGCTCCCTGAGGTAGTGAAGAGTAGCACTTCTTTTCAAGATGCTATAAGCACAGGATCCACCTTTCTACATGGTGTCTTTCTCTCCTTCAAAACTACGTTGTTGAGATACAATTCACATACCATACAGTTCACCTGCTTAAAGTATTAGGTTCAGTGATTTTTCATGGTTCTACAGGTCTGTGCAACCATCACCACAGCTTTAAAACTTTTTTTATCATCTCAAAAAGAAACTCTGTATCCTTTAGTTGCCATACCTTTATTTCCCCCCTTGCCCACCAGTCTTAAGCAACCATTAATCAGTTTGTTTTTCTATAGAGTTCTGTATTGTAGACTTTCAAGTGAATGGAATTATATAGTATGCGATCGTTTTTTGGCTGGCTTCTTTCACTTAGCATAATGTTTTTTTTAAAACTATTTCTCTCGATAGGGTTGCACATTCCACTCCCACTCTTCTCCCTTGATGATCCTAGGGTCCTCTGTTCCTGGACTGTAAGATTAATTACTCCCCGCCGCCTTTTTAAAAAAAGTTTTTATTGTGAACCGAGTGATAGTTTTACATGGGACAACATCGGCTTTACACCATAATTTCGTTGCAGTGATTACAATCTCCTCCGTGCTACATCATTCAACAGTATTTGCTTCCATTCCCTCTATGTTTCTTTTTTTGGAGGGGGCGGGAGTTCATGTATGCAAGAACACTCGGGAATATATAAAAATTTAAACAACCAAAGGGCACATTCTTCAAGCCTGCCTCCTGCCCGCCAGCATCTAGTCCCTCTCTTTCCATGAGTCCAGAGTCCTCAGCTGCTCCCTCTCTCCATGTCCCCATCTCTGCCTCTATCTCGGGTGTCACTGCTTCTCTGGATGGTGGTTATGTGCCATGGAGTCGGTTCCGACTCATAGCGACCGTGTGTACAGGGTTTCTGAGGCTGTAAATCTTTACGGGAACAGAAAGCCTTATTTTTCTCCCATGGAACAGCTGGTAGTTTCAAACTGCTGACCTTGCTGTTCGCAGCCCGATTCGTAACCACTATGCTACCATATGCTCCATGCTTCTCTGGATAGGGTCCCGCATTCTCTTGTGCTCTTCTTCCTTGATGGTCCTAAGGTCCTCTGTTTTTGGATTGTAAGATTAACTACTCCCCCATTTTTGTTACAAAAATTCTACCTTTACAGTTGTGACAGTCACAATTAATCATGATAACAATTACTATTAAATCATAAGAATCTTCTCCCCATTTCACCAGACCCGTCTAGACAAGATGAAAACTATTCAATGGAGATTCTACCTCCCCCTCCTCTTTTTTTCTTATTTTTTAAAGCATAATATTTTACAGGTTCATCCAGAACTTTATTCCATTTTATTGCTGAATTGTGTAGTCTTCTTGAATTCCCTTCCACTGTTATTTTCCAGAAGATATGTTTGTTTGGTGAAACGAAGCGGAATCTTGGCTCCTTGTCTTTGGAAAAGCTTTAAGTAGCAAGATAAATTGTAATGGAATAGTCTCTGCACCCCTGATGGAGTCTTGTATTTATACATGAGAGAGGCTGTAAGTAGACCTTCCCAAGTGACTAAGTTTGTGACTAGTCTCCTGTTTCCATATATTATCATGGGAGGGATATACCTAGATTTGGCTTTCCTTTGTTGGTATTAATGTTCTAATCTGAGTATTGACCTAGAGTTTAGAAGAGAAAAAATTTCAGGATATTTGCATATGCTTTTAGCTAATCCAGTGGATCCTAGATTTTCTCCTTACATTGGAAAAGAAACTATTTTCCTGAAGTAATATA